CTCGGGTGGTCGTCTTTCTCCTGATAGGTCTTCGACTCGCACTGCAATCGTAAAGCGGGGGTGGGGGGACAGAAAGACGGGGCTGTTAGTACAGACAAGTAGAGTGGTAGGTTGCGTAACCCGTGGGCGACCACGTATCAGACGAAACAAGCCAACCTGCAGCACAAGGAACTTCTGAGAAACAGGACTTTTGTTCAGGAAGCACTAACAAAACACGCTTTGGAGTAGGAGGAGGTAGGGGACAACCTCTAGCATTATCATCCTCAAAAGCAAGAAAACATACAGAACTGAAGCAATAGCCCTGAACACTCGAGAAGCAGTTTTCAAATTCTTAAAGCATACTTTCCAACAAAAAAAACGCCTAGATGGAATGGCAGCTTTGACGAAAACGAACTTATTTCGACCGGAAAGTTCTCATGTCACTTGTGTCGACTACATGTTTGAACTGCTTGCGCAAGCTTTGAGACCAGTTTATATTTATTTGCAATGTTTCTATAAAGTTAGTGAGATTTACGAGGACGAGTGCATATGTGGTTTATTTACATAAATCGAAGAAAGTAGAGTCATCAGTCGGGCATAAGCCAACCTCAAACCGGAAAGATCCGAGAGTTAAACCCGACTCAGTTGGTCAATGAGCATTGGAGACGAACGCCCTACCGTTTGGGCGATGGACTCGTTTCCTTTGAAGTAAACTGGAAATATCTAAAGCCCCGTACCAGCCCGAAGTCAAATCTTAGGTCTAGATTTGGTGTGTAACCGGCCGATGACGGCAAATACACCAGGAATGTCCATTCCAGTATTCTTGTTTTTTTTTCCAGTATCCTAGCTAAACTACCAAATAGCACAAAGGAAATTAGACATAAAGTATGCACTGCAGTACCTGGAAAGAACTGAGCTGTCAACGAAACGAGGGTGATCATAGTTCATCAAAAGTAAAAAAACGACATGAAGTATGCTGAAGAGAACACGGTCAGAAGATGGTAAGCAAGCAGACAAGACTCAACAGAACATGAAGGCTTCCGCCAGTCGGAGGCAACAGAAGCAAACAAAAAGATACTAGAACATGTGGCGTTTACTTTCACAGCCCAGCAGTGTTTCGCGTCAATGCATCGTACTGGCCGAATCTAGGTGAGACGATGTAGACAAAAGCAAAAGCAAGTAGATGGAATCAAAAAGAGGGTGTGCGGGAGAACCAACAGAAGACAGCAGATAGGCTGTCATCAACGAACGTCAGAACACCAAACCAAATTAACACATCAACAAAGTACTTTAGTCAGCGGTTCCATGTCAGTGCATGTGAAGGCACCGGCTTTCTGACCACGACCGACTCTACGTCGGGTCTGTGCTGTCCGAACAAAACGTGCGCTGACTTGTCGATGAGAAGCACCGAAGCCGCTTTTAACACTGTAAGGTCTGCCGGCAGTTGCCAGTCCCCGTTTCTGTAGTGGGCCAGACCTATCTGACTCCCTCAAAGGCACACAGAGCACGGAGCTATTTGGAAGAACTAGTTTTTGGAGCGTTATCGAGGGCACTCGAGGTGCGGTTTGGAGGGGTGATTGAAGGCTCAACTTGGGTGTGCGGGATTTCTCTCGAGGAGTTGACTTAGTGTTGGCTAACTGAAATTGGGAAATGGTGAAATGGAAGCTCAAGTTATCGCCAAATGAAACCTAAGCTTAGACAGCAGCCATGCTTTTGGGAGGGGAACTTACCGTCCCGGCCTTTCGATTTTTGTTCCTCCTGGCACGTGTTCCCCCAGAGGTTGTGGTGGAGTTAGTGTTGCGCTTTGCACTTAGGGTCTTGGTGGCGGTCGGCTGAGAGACGCTTGATGAGAGCGACAAGTTGCTGGACACCTACAGAGAGAGGAAAAGAAGCTGGTTTTTTTTCAAAGTTAATTTATGGAGTAAAGAGTACGTCTATTGATGAGACTGAGAACGAACCTTTGAAATAGACTTGGACCCCTGAGTATTATCCCCATGACTACGTTTGCGGTTCGGCCACAACTGTGAGTCACCGACGCTACTGACAGATTTTGACTTGTGTAAATGTGACTTCAAGGATTTGTGCGAACGGGTGGCCTCCTTGGAATTCGGACGGGGAGATACTGCCATGGCCTTCGAAGACGCTG